TTTACTGGATCCTGTCTGACTTCCTTTACATCCCAGTAGAGTGACTGCTGCCCTCTTCTGTCCTTGGCAGGGACTTGAGCATAGGCATGGGGGAGGGTGGGCTCAGGCAAGCATTCCTCTGCAGCATCTCTATGCAAAGCATGGGGGCAGTTTTTCCTGCCTTGCCCTGGGCTGGTAGCGCCACATGTCCTCAGTGGATGACTTCAGTGGAAGCAAGCCTTTTCCAAGTGTGGAAAGTACCAAGTATCTAAGTACCAAGCACATCCCAGTATGGAGACTGTAACCCCTGGGGGTTGCCCAACTGCTTTTGGTTAAAATGGTGGCCCCATGGTCTGCTGCTGGCGAAGGAGGAAACCCAGCAGAGGGTCTCAAAATAAAAAGTAGGAAAGGGTTGGGGATGTGGCTCAGTGGTTAAGCAACCGTGGGTTCAATTCCCAGTACCAAAAAAAAGAAGTTATCCCTTTAAAAAGGACATTTACTGACTTTCCAGCTTATTACTTGTACCACTTCTCATTTATCTGCTGATCCTCTTTGAGACTTTGGATTTATAACCCTGAGTTACGTGTTTCACTAAAAAAATTAGTGAAACACAACTGTACTGGAATCTAAGAACTATTTTTCTGCATGGATTCTTATTTTTTAAATGCCTACAGTGAATAAATCCATAATTTCTCATAAGTTTAATTTCTCATAAAATTCCTTCACTTAGCCTGAAAGCACAAAGTCATAGCATTGTTTAGTAAAATGCACTATAATATATAGGCTAAAATAAGGTTATCTAGATAGCTTGATATCAAGTTTTCCACTAAGAGGAGCTTAATTATTTTTCCTGGTTTCAATTAGTCTTACAATTGGAAAGGGAAAGCTAAGTCTGAATTAAGAGACTCAACCAGATAAGGACACAGTTAATTCTGGCAGTGATTCAGGAACATCTCTAAGTAAGTCACTTACCATCTTTGTGCTGTAGGCATTCCCAGTTAACAAGACCTGATCCTTTTGGATTTTGTTGTGGAAACCTTGGATGATAATGATTGTGGAAAGTATTTTCATATTTTAACAATGTAAAAATTAAAGGTTATGATGCAACTATATTTTTATTAGTTCCTTCTTTCCTTCCTTCCTTTTTGTGGTGCTGGGAATAGAACTCAGGGTCTTGAACAAACTGAGCAAGTGCTGTCTCACTGAACTCCATCCCCAGCCCTGATGTTTTTCTGTTTTTAAGAGCTTGATATTAATAATTTAAAAGTAATGTGATAATTGGACTTATGTGCTTATTTTTATAGAGGACAGGTAGTACTAGTTTCTAAATGTCTTTTGGTTTAACTAAATTTAGACTGTCTTTTAAAATGTAAAGCCACTTTTACACAAGTTTCTTCCATGGTAAAATTTTACAGGAAGTTACAAACCAGTAATTAGGTAACAAAGATTATATGCTAAGAGAAATGATTATATATGGGATGAATTCTAAAAATATCATTTTTCTAAATAACATTCATCTGCCTTCTCAAAGCACCCTTGATGATTGATCAGAGGATATCTTGAGATGACTAGGTTTTTGCTATTAGTAATATTATAGAATGAGTCTCTGACTCATAAAAATACTGGGTTTCTACTAGTGTGTGAATCCTGAATTAAGAGTCTGCCTCTAGATAAGAAACTATTTGTAACCACCTTTTTTACACTAAATTATAGGATCTCCACAAGCACCATTTCTGTGTAAAAATAGGATTCTTTATTCTTAGTAACTGTTCTCAGTGCATCTTCCGTGATTCTCGGTCTTGGCCTTCCTGTTTTGTTAAGCACAAAACCACACTGAGACATTTGCTCAGGCTTATCAGACATCTCTTTTCCTGAGACCAGGCTGAGTTTTTATTTCTAGTCTCTACTTTCATAGAATAATGTCACCTATGTTGTTATCTTTTTCAGGGTGATCATGGCTTTAAGCAATCCAAAGACACTGAAGAGAGGCTCAAAGTTATCCCAAAATTTTGTTTTCCTGATTCGAAGGACTGGGCACCAACCTCAGAACTAAAGAGGTGAATGGGCTACTTTATCTGATTTCTATTTGTTGGGACTGCCAAAACAGAACCAGAGTATTTGAGAAATGGGTAGAACTAGGAATAAAGCTTTGTGAACATTGTGGCAGACCAAGGATACAGTGGGAGGAAAGGAAGAAACAGAATCAGAACA